AGAAGATAACGTGTGGTTCATGGAGTGTCATACACGTGTAGGGATCAGCAACTAAGACCCCAGTTCACCCCGCAAATAGATAACGCCTAAAGGACAAAAAGAAACAAGAGTCTACAGGTTAAGTACATCCAACTTGCAAGGACCTGCATGTTTTTTTTTTACCTAAGTTTGATCAGTACTTTGGTTGTTATTAAAGAATGCACGATTGAAATCAGTTTATATTCCAACGCTATAACCTCGTCCTGGAACAACAAAAGACCCATACCATCGCCAAAAAATTCATACAGGTTCTTGCTTTCAGCTGGAGATTTAGAGCCAGCGCGACTGTTTGATCCACAAAAATAAAGACTTCATCTCGTGACCTAAGATCGAACTTTAACACACTTAAGACAGGGCAGATTATAACGCCGAGAACAAAAGACTTGATCGAGGGAGTTCGTCTGCAAACCAGACACACAGGTACGGGATAGTTATTATTCCAAGCTATGCATACCGGGGAATAAAATTTCACTAGAAAAGTTCTACTCATGCCTATTATTTCATTTTTTTCAAATTTGTAGGCTTCATCTAAGAACAAAAGTCTATAGATCTCATGCGGTACTGGTTGTAAATCACAACCAGAAAGCTCAAGATTGAAAGAGACTGCTTTTGCCTGTGCCGCTGTTTTGCGTGTAGCGAATAAAATGCTTAAGTGTGATCGTTCAAGTGAAAGCTAATGTACTTTCCTGTTGTACTGTTTACTAGGCTGTACAAAGTGGTTCTAACTTCGAGTCTGTGGATGAAAAACTGAATTGAGACTATTGAAATGAAAGCTACTGAACAGTACTTTTCTGTAGCACTGTTTACTACAACTTAGTTGTACTGTTCAAGGTAATCTAAGATTCTTTTAGTTTACTTTTGTGTACGAAGCCTTTTATTATGACCATGTAAATTAGAGCGATAGTGAGATGAGCTAGGACTTTCCTGTACGTAGTACCTTTTTGTTATACTGTAAATGGTAACTTCAGCGTTAAGCTCTGTGGATGAAATACTATGGTGTCACCATTCAAACCGATAATTTTCCATCTTCCCGGTGTACATTGGAGCCGATAGTGTAGTTGTGAAGCCCGAGTATTATTTTATTTCTTCTCCACTCACCCCGTTCACAACTGTTGCAGTTTATGGATCTAACAACAATTTGACGTAGTTTACTGGCTTGTAATTCTTCGGAGTATTTGCTTAGTGATATAAAAAGCATTTAACACGAAGTTCAAGCAGGAAAACAGTGTGACGATTATCTTGGGATAAGAAAGGAAGGGAGCTTTGGGAAACACTTGAGAATTCTTCACGACCAACACGGACTATTAAAATGTAACTTGAAACCCTATATGGAATGATTGAATGCTTGTGAAATACAATCAATTGATGGTTACAACGCTAGCAATTATATAAAAAATAAATATTGAAATTAATTTTTTAAGAAACCATATTTCAGCAGTCAGGTAATGAGGAAGTTATATTGATTCCATTTAGAACATGAATTAGTATCTATTTCTCAGCACATTATCCGAAAACAATACTGAATATCACAGCCCTTTACAATAGACGCGGTCCGCAGCAGTTAGCGCGCGCCCTGCTGGCGCCGAAGCGCGGGAAAATGCGTGCTGTAAATCACGAAATAGATATGCTTTTTTTGATTGGTCGGAAGGGTAGTGCGCAGATATCTTAGTAACCTTACTTAAAATTGAGTCAAGCAAAACAATTCTTAGTTGTTTTACTGGACTGGTAAAGTTAAGCTTAAAGATGCTTGTTTGAGAATGCAAAAAATAAATAAATAAAATTCAGCTTTTTGATTTCTTTACGTTATTATTTTATATAAAAAAAGACAGACCAAAACAAACTACTTTGCGGTGGAAAATGATTAATATGATTTTTTTCGTAAAGATAGTAACCGTATTAATCTTTACTTTTGCAATAAGCTCTTCCTTTTACTATGTATTTTCAGGCAGTGCTGACGCGCCAGCAATCAGCAACAACGCGTTACTCAAAACAATTATTTTTTGTCTTTGTGGGAGAAGTTTTTAGCAATAAGTACTTCTCAGACCCGCTGGACAGAAGTTTTTTCAAATTATATCTTTTTTCATATTAAAAAACGATGTATCGAGCTGTATAGCCTGCGTTGCAGACCACCGTCTAAATCCCTGATACAGACTATTTCGAGTTCCTTATCTAGGTGTCGAGTGGCAGGTCTGGATGCTACCCAGGCTTACGAGCTGTACGGCATCACTACTCTCAACAAGAGCCTAAGGAGACTTTTTTATCGGAGTTTTTGACATGAAGCAGAAAGTTCAGACACGGAGGGCAAAAAAGAGTATTTAAAAAAGACTAGTCATACTGTAGCCGTTTTTGAATTGGCGAGAGACTAGCACTTGACGCAATATCCGTTTGTTACGAACCATGTTTGGAGAGTCTTACCTAGTACCTGTGAGTCTCATAGTCCTTCCGGCTATGAGGCACAAGTGCATTTCACTGCTGGTCGAAATATTTTTTGTAGCTTCGTCTTCTTGAAAGACACATATCAAAACAATAAATAATTCGGCCTTGGCTTTGAAGTATTATCCTTAAGCTTCCTCAATAAGCTTAATCTTGCTTAACGTCTGCAAAGTTCTTGCCTTTGACACCAGGCAAGCTGTTCAATGACTCTCACGTTGCCAGAGATGCCTGCTGAGTCGTCTCGTCAAAGTCCTGTTCGTCAACGTCTTACATAGTTGTCTGACTTTTTCTTATCATGGCTGAAGGAACGAGGTACATACATGTTCAGCGCTCGTTTTGTTTCGCAAGACAATAAAGGCGAGCGCGATGTCAGCGAAACGATATTTATGTGAATCGCCAGTCACCACTAGTCGTTACAACAAGCAGCCCCCCAGTTCCCTTCTCGGCCACTTGCCTGTTGCCGCGCGCGTTTATACTGTCCCACTTATTATGATGGAAAAAAAAATAATGAAGAAAAGTGAGAGAGATGGCTTGCCGTTTGCAGGAGGAATTATTAACTAAACAGATCACGTGTGTTGCTACCCTGGCTCTAGAGTTCCGTTCTCGAAATGCATAAGATGAAATAAACCGTGCTCACGGTTTGAGAAAGCTCCCGCTTCGCGCCTCGCTGTCGTGTCGTGGCCTCGCCGCGAACTATCAGTATAGATAAGAAAAAAATAACCCCTGGAAGTCAGTGTAGTGTGCGGCCTCTAACTTTCATGGACTCGTCACCCATCCCCGCTTGCTCTCACGCAGTCTGTATTGGCCGAGCAGAAGCCTGGTGATGACCACAAGTCAACATGGCGGACGAAGAGAGAGTTTTTCGAATGTTCGTGATCGATGCTTTTACAAGTAAGCCTTTTTGTGGAAATCCAGCCGCAGTTTGCCTCGTGGGATCAAAAGTGAGTTATCTTTAGTCATGTTCAGAGTTCAATTAGTAAGCCAGGTAGGCTTGTTTAAAACTGGAAGCTTAAACTTACGGCGTTGTGGCGCGGCGTGAAAGGTTCATGAGTTTCAAATTGGATGCGAAAGAAAATTGTGAGTTTCATAATTAATAGGTTGTGCGTAAATTTCTCTTTTGCATATACTTTTACCTACTAGTAAATTAGTCATGCACATGATCCTCAATGTACTATTTTAATAGATCTTAATGATTCCCTTGTGCAGCAACTAGATGATGAAATATTACAAAAGATTGCCAAAGAAATGAACTTGTCCGAAACGGCCTTCGTCCTGGAGAAAAATGACCAAGATACATACGACAAAGGTCAGAACATTGCTGCAAGTGTGTTTATTTAACCCATTAATCTCTGAGATCAAGATACAAAGTCTCCATGTGCATGTTGTTCTTTTGTTTCAACTAGTCTTCAACTAGAGGCATATAGTCGAAATGGCTGTCAGGGACAAGCCCAGAGATGTCATCGTCTAATAATCTAAAATCTAGAGCCTCTCTCTGTTGCATTCCTCCCTTCCCTTGTGGAAGATTTGAATGACCAAAGCCCCCACCCATTACATACATTTAGTTGGCGGAGCAGGGGGAGCTGTAGGCCCCTCACGTTTTGGTGCCAAAAAACACTTTTACAGGTGTACTTGACATTACCTGTGACACCGGTGACTTCAGAGTGCACATTTTCTGCCCCTAGACAACTCAAGAACTACCTCAGAAGCACCAAGAAGCAGGACTGCCTAAACAACCTTTAACAACTGCCTATGGATGCATCGTCATTGTGAAGATTGGAAAGAGAATTGCTTGTGCCAACTAAAAATGCCATGGGTATTTCGGGGCATGCGCATAGCTGAGTGGAAGATGAGGCCCTCCATGTTTCAAAATGCTCTGCCACCTCTGCAATAAACACACAAATTGACCGATTCCACAAAATTATAGTATGGGTGTGACTTATAATATTGTATGAAGTCTTGCATGAACTACATACCATAAAAATTCATTTTGGAGACATTACCTTTATCACTGATGAATCAAGTGCAAAAAATGTCCTAGAAACTGACTTTGAATCACCGAATTTTTGAATTTTGGGGGGAAATAAATGGGCTGAATTCCAAACTAAAGTACAGAAAAGCTCAAATGTCAATGTTAACCAGGAGATTTGGTGACACATATGAGAGACCAGGAGATTTGTGCTTTATCTAGGAGACTCCCTGATAATCCAGGAGATTTGGCATCGTGTAAACTTCAGGTAACACATAATTTTGGCAATTGAATACATATAATGATTGGTACAATTTTTGTTCAGGTTCTTGTTTTGGTCTGCGCTGGTTCACTCCAACATGTGAAGTTCCACTGTGTGGACATGCAACGCTGGCATCAGCTGCAGTTTTGTTCAATGTTTTGGGTGAGTATATGGTAAATTAAATACAGTGAGACTTTCTTTATTATCATTTTTACTTCAACAGGTATCACAGGTGCACTGCCCTGAAAAAAGCACAATCTCCCCTAAAATAAATGCAATTAACACGAGGCCCCAGTTGCTCAAATGTTGGATGTTGCTATCCACTGCATAAATCACTATCTAGCAGAAGTATTAGGGAAACCTATAACACTACATATATTCAATGGATAGAGATTTATCCAGTGAATAGGATAGCATTATCCTCTTTCGAAAAACTCAGCCCAGGTCATGTTCTTGTAAATAAAGCTACCATTTCCTTAGCCACCGATTAAAATGTTACTTTCTCAGTCTTTTCCAGCTTTTTTTTTTGCATTTGCAGAGTATCCTTACCTCTTTTTAGCAATTTGTCAACACTTGCAAACAATGTGACTATTAATTTCTTTACAATGGGAGAAATGCTGTTTCCATTTCATGTTTTTCATTTAGGTAACACCAATACAGAAATAACATTTCAAACTTTGAGTGGAAATTTAATGGCCAGAAAACAAGGTAAGTCTGAAAGGTAAATGCACCAAACATTACGACATGATCACTTAAGCGGATGTGATATTCTTTTTTGTTTTCTTTCTAGGTTCATCGATATGCATGGATCTTCCATTAAATCCTTCAGAACCGCTTTCTGAGGTAAACTGATATAACTCAAATTTGGATCTCCATATCTTATTGTTTTTAATTTATTTATTTCACGTGAACTGAAAAAAATGTTAAATAGCAAAAAGGGAGTACATCGTCTTGTAGTAGACTACGAGTAGTCCCCCATTTGTCCTCAGGGATAGTAGAGCGAGCGAAACCCGAGCGCACGTGAAAATCACCCAATGCGAGACAAAGCGACATGCCTCGCGTCTCGCCTTTCTGGCGTGGGGTGATTTTCATGCGCGCTCGCGTTTCGCTCGCTCTACTATCCATGAGGAAAAATGGGGGGCCTACTCTAGTCTATCTTGTAGAAACACAAATCTGCGTGTGTCGAACAAATTCATAGTGATACAGTTTCGGATAAATCCAGTTCGTTTCTGTTTTGCCACTTTCAAGCAATGTTGTCAAAAGGCTGCGCAATTTACTTTGCTCGTTATACGTGATCAGTATCATAATTGCTTCTTTCTTGGGCGTGACAGGTACGGCACTTATTGTTAGGAGCGCTTACATTGTAGTTTTTAGTTTTAGGAGGAGTGCATATCGGAAGCTGGGTTCACTTATTATACTTAATAATTACAATAAGTAAGTCAATAACAAGCTGCCGAGTCACTTAAACAGATACCTTTCTTGTTCTTTTAAACTGGGGTGTTAAGGAGCCTTCTTGCGCACGTGTCTTGTTCTCTACGCTCTACGCTCTACTCAAGATTGCATTTGCTCGCCTGGAAAACGCGGAAGAATAATGCTTCCTCTGCACGCTTGGTTTGCGGAGATGAACGTACCTCCAATACCGTAACGCCGTAAATTCCGGGGAGATTACTTTAAGCTGCTTTAAGGGTGGGAAAGAAATCAAGAAGAAAGAACGGTCTGCATGGGAGACTTCCATAAGACCGGTTGCCGCAAACTCTATTTCATGTCACTCAAGTGATGCTATGCTCCTTGGGCTGCCTGTGCAGACTAGAATAATCTGCTAAAGCGCTTATGGCGGCGAGACATTGTAAACTCAAACACCTCTCAAACATCTGAAACGTGGTCATCTACCCAAACATTTCTAGAATATGACGAAACGTGTGCTTATCGATGCGTACTACCGGTAGTAATCAAGGGTATACCGTTTCTGTTTTCTTTTTCAACAGGAAGACCAAACCATCTCAAGATTGATTAGAACAGGTATTCCTCATCAGTCGTAAATTGGACATTTTATGGCCGAGCTTCACACTGGGTTGTTGTTGTGTCAAACTGTGGGAATGTTTTGGGGATACTATTTCTTCATTTATTAGCTGTTACAAGCTTTTGCGGGAAACTGGGACAGAATTCGTCCCCCTAAAACAGTTCCACGACACTGAACCGGTGTTAACCTCCTGTTAACCCAGATATTAAGCAAATCTTTTATCTATGGCATGGACTTTTAATCATGTTGTACAAGGTAGTTTTAACTTTTGAGTCTATGGATGAAGACCTAAAATGTGACCGTGCAACTAAAAGATACCGAGGTTCCTTTCGCTGTACAAGGTTGTTTCAATCTTTTATTGCGACCGTTAAACTAAAATAGTTGGAGTTCCACTGTCCTGTCAGCTGTTTACCATACCGCACTTATATTCTGTTGAGGAAGTCAAGAAGTCGGGGTCAACTGTACGCAACACCAAGAAGCTACAAGAAGTCGTTACTTGTATTCACGTGAAAACAACTAAGCAAAATTTACACTATGCAGTTTTCTATAGTTTGTTCTGCTCTTAACTTCTACCCACTTTTATAACGCTATATATCTTTTCATTTTTCTCCTTTTTATATTTAGTTGTAGGGGAACTTGCGGTAAAGGAAGTGGAATACTCCAAAACAACCAAGAAACTCCTGCTATGTTTGCAAACTTCCGTGACAAGGTCAGGCTGAAGCAGCAACAAGTATTATTCATCATTAAGAATTTCCATTAGCAATTTAACCGTGTTGGTGGTCGCTTCAACGGTCTGGACGCCGTGACGTCTTGTGTAAACGATCTATAATCTCAATCATTTTACCGCAGCTACCTTTCCTCAGGTCCTGTCGAGTTTCTTCTATCTCCCTCATCGCTATTAAACGATCTGTTAGCCTGCGTAGCAAGCGTTTCATCGTGAGGTTTGTCTAGAAAGCTGGGACAAGAGCAAAAAAAAAAAAAAATGACGAGGGAGGGGGAAGGGAAAGAAGGATTCAACCTTTTTTTTTTGCTTCCGCTCTAACTTTCGCGCAATAACTCGATTGGAAACGCTTGCTACGCAGGCTAACGATCCGTTTGTTGAGAGGGACCTTTCTAATGCTCTAACACACATGTGACATTTGTGTGTTGGCTGCTAATTTCTTTTTTGTGCCCACAAAGAGATAGGAAAAACTCTTCGAAGTTGATTCGTCAAGTTTGTGTTGGATACGCCTTATCATCAACATCTCTCTTTCAGACCTGGTTTATACCCGTATTAACCTGTCAACCTGTATTAACCCTTTAAGCCCCAATATCTACATACAAATTCTCCAGACTGATTTCCATACATCTACTTAAGAATTAGTTGAGAGAATTTGATAAAAGATCAAAGCATTTTCCCTGAGGTGATCATTCAGTTGGTCTTTTCGCAAGGATGACCGCTTCAGACAGCTTTGACTGTATTTGGCAAGCGGAATTCAGTGTGCAGGCAAAAGAAGCGTGGTTAAAAGCTGTTTCACATGATCTCCTTTATCGTTAATATTTGGTTGACGTTAAGACTGTACTTTTAATCAGGCAGGACTTAGAAAAGCTCTCTCCAGACTTCCAGGCAATGATGTCAGCTCACTCGGCTGGGCTTGTCCGTGGTGTAATTGTAACTCTTCAAGGGAATGAGTCAAACGGCTGCGTCGACAATAATGGAGCAGTGTACGACTTTGTTTCACGATACTTTGCGCCTTGGGTTGGTATCCCTGAGGATCCAGTAACAGGTTAGTGAACTAGAGTTACAGGCCGCTCACGCTATTTTTTTTAGCCCATTTTGTTTTTGTATTGTAATTAGGAAAGCAACTTTGTCTAGAACATGTCAAATGCCTCCTCCCGGTGAGATGTAAGTCCACAGACGTATCTTTTGACAGATCGTGTAGTTCCTTTTTAAGACCCATTAGTAGAGAGGCCTTACTCCTCTCTGTGAAAATTAGCTTGGGACAAAGTTTCATGTCCAAAGAAAACAAAGCCCAAGGATCAAATTGCTGCCGTTCACGGTAGCACTTTTCCAAAGCAGGATTTATTTAGCGTGGGCAGATGGGCTCCTGGCGTGGGATAATGGTGGATTTAACCTACCATAAACTGCCGCTTATAAACACAAGCCCGAGGGTTGTCCAACACAGTCAACTGATGGACTCCATCGGCCGACTTTCCAGCCCTCCCTCATCTTGCTTGCTTGCTTGCTTGCTTATTTCGAGCGAACTCGAACTCCATTAACTAGCTTCATCCATTCCTTCCGGTTTTCCATGATGTTCTTCAGTTCAGCTATGCTCAAACCAGTATCATTTTGCAGCTGGTCTACGTATGTTAATGCTGGTCTTCCTCTCTTTCTTGCGCCGTGCTTTGGTTCCCAGAGTAGTAAATCACTTATCACCTCATCCTTTTTTCTCCAACAGTGTCCTATAAACCGCAGCCTCCTGATCATCAGTGTATCTGTAATCTTAGGAAGATTGCCGTACAGTTCTTTGTTGGTTTTATGCTCCTTCCAGGAAACTCCAAGAACTGCTCTGAGCATTCTTGTGTACGTACCATCTAGTCTATTCATCATCTTTCCAGTCATCGTCCAGCATTCAGCACCATAAAGCAGTACACTTTCAACTGTGGCCCGAAAGAAACCTATTTTGAGATGATTTTTTAGGTTTGATTTCCACACTTTCATCATTTTGTTGAGTGCACTCCAAGCGTGTCCAATTCTTATATTCATGTCCTTTTCACCGGATTGTATCCACGAACCAAGGTATTTGAAGTTATCTACTTGCTTCAATTTGTTCCCTGCCAGTGTGACAAGATCACCTACAGGTTGATTGTACAGCATGTATTCCGTTTTCTTGTAGTTAACATGCAGACCCACTGTTTTCGCAGCAACCTCCAGTCTTAATAAGAGAAGTTGTGCCTCTTCAAGATAGTCAGAAATTAGGGCAAGATCATCCGCGAAATCAGTGTCGGTGATGTATGTTGCTACATGACGGGAGCTCTGCCGTGGTGTAAGAGTGAACCCAGTGTGTGTTTCTCTAGTAGCTTCTCTAAGGGCATAATCCAAGGCTATGATAAATAGGAAAGGTGCGAGTGTGTCTCCTTGCAGAACTCCCGCAAGAATTTCAAAGAATTCCGTATCACCATCAGGAGTTATCACCTGTGCTTCGGTGTCCTTGTAGAGTATGCTGATGGCATCCACTATCTTTGTTGGAATTCCATATGCCTTCAAGATCTCCATCAATTTCCCACGATGTATCGAATCAAAGGCTTTACTGAAGTCTACGAAAGTCAATATTGCAGGAAGCTGTTTTTCTTTTATTCCCTCTATGAGCCTACGCAGAGTTAAAATTTGCGGTAGTGTAGATCTACCCGTACGAAATCCATTTTGGTTCACCCTGAGCAGAGGATCCAGATGAGGTCTTATTCGATCTAATAGAATCTTGTTATAGATTTTCGCAGCTGTGACAGTTAGGGATATACCACGATAGTTTCCTGTGTCACCCAAGTCACCTTTCTTTGGTAGGGGTATTATTCCACTTTTAACCCATATATTCGGTCGATCACCATTGAATGTTTTGTTGCAGATGTCAAGCAATTGTTGATTTAAGGCACCAGTTTTCCAGACTTCAATTGGTATGTTGTCGAGACCATGTGCTTTGTTATTTTTGAAACCTTTGATACTTTTAACCAGTTCTTCCATGGTTATGTTATCCGTGTTGATGGGAAGAGGTTCATGTATTATGGAAGCAGTTGGTTTTATTGTGACACTGGGTGGTTGACCTAGCAGGTTTGAGAAGTGTAACTTCCATTTACTGACACGGTCTTCAGGACTTTTGGCTTTTATTCGACCCCTGTTTGTGCCCTTTCTTCTTGTGAACTCGTTTACCGTTTCCCATGCAAGACCGGATTTTTGGTGTTGTATAGCGTCAGTAATTGCATGAATCTTTTCATTCACATACTTCTCTTGTTCTCGATCGTAAGATTCCTGTAGCTCTTGCTTGGCCTCCTCCAGTTTTACAGCACTGCTTCTGGTATTTCTTCTCAAGGATACCTCATAAGCATTCTTCACCATTTCCCTTTTTTCTATGATGTTTTCATTTTCCCACGGAACGTGTTGCTTTATCTTGGCCTTCACAGGTACACTGATTTCTGCAGCTTTTTCATGGGCTGTCATGATATTCTCATACATCTGGTTTGCATCCTCATTACCATGTAAGTCCTGTAGAGTTTGGTATCGGTTGCAGACTTCAACAGTATACATGTCTTTGATGATGTTATCATTGAGAAGCTTGTTCCAATCGTATCTGATCTTTTTCTTACCAGATGGTTTACTTTGCCGCAGGCTTAGTCTTATTTTAGCTGTGACAATACGGTGATCAGATCCCACAGAACAGAAGGTGTTATAAGCTTCACAGTTTAAAGCACTATTTTTCCATTTGTTGTTTATTAGGATATAGTCTATTTGACATTTGGCTCCAGAAGGTGATGTATGAGTCCAAAGCTTACCTTCGCGCTTTTTAAAACTGGTGTTCAGCGGTTTGAGATTGCATTCTAACATGTAGTTTAGGAGCAATTGCCCATTCTCGTTGGTGTGTAAATGACGTGAAATGAGAGGAGTTTGATTTATCATGTCGTTTTAATGCTTAATTGAAAACCAGTTAATGCAAGAGGTATTTTGAACAGCACTGCTAAGTCTTGTTTCCAAGCGCTTCTTCTATTCCGGTTATATCCCTGGGATATAAACCCCTCCGTTTATAAACCCCTTACGAAGATTCAAAGCCCAGGGCTTTTCAGCTGCAGTTTACGTTAATTTAGCATTCATAGATGGCTTTTAGCTTAAATTTTAACTGCTGTCATACTTGGGCATTAATATGTATAGGTAATAGCATGATTTGTAGTGATATTTGGCATAAATACCACGAGTGATGTTTCGAAATTGTTATACGTAATTTCACGAGCCGTTAGGCGAGTGAAATTTGAGACAATTTTGAAATATCACGAGTGGTATTTATGCCAAATACCACGTACAAATCATACTGTTATTTGTTTATACTACTGTAGGTATTTCAAATTAAGCTGAAATACCACTGCTCTAAGCCAATCAGATTGCAGAAATTTCTCATGTAGTAGTATAAGGGAATTAACGTGCGATAATATTTCTGTATTTTATTTAGGGTCTGCGCACACGGTCCTTGCTAGTTATTGGTCGTCTAGGCTACAAAAGAATGATTTATATGGTAAGTTAGGCGCCCATTACAGGGACCCTAGCCTTTCTTAAATTCAGTATCCAGATCCCCCATAACTATACCCAACACGACAAAAAGGGGAACCTACAGAAACTGTGAGTCAGGTCTGATGAATATGAAGTATATGAAGTCTCGTACAAGTTGTGAAAAGTGTTTTTCCACTCTTGTCATGTCGACAGTATTGGTCGTGACTGAAGTTTCATTGAAGCACTGAGGTTGACTGGAGAAACATTAAGCTTCTTATAATAATCCACCTAGGAGGAGATCTGGAAATCCAATAATTTCTGAAACAGCGGCCTAAGTTAGACTTCTTTTAAATAATCGACCCATACTGTTTATTTTATTTTATTTTTTCCGTTACAGCTCGGCAGTGTTCTCCGCGTGGAGGGAAACTTACTATTCAGGTGCGCGAAGACGACAGGGTCGACATCGCAGGACAAACGGTGCTTGTTTTACAAGGAAGTTTGTACTTGTGACTTCAGACCTTATGGTCTTGTCTTGCGAGGAATATTATTTGTTACGCTGTTTGCGTTGGTGAGGCAAATTAAAAATGTTCTACTACAAAAGGCAAATGAAGAACGTTGCGGAAATTCAACCTTGGTCAGAGTGGCTTGAAAGAAACTCAATCTCTGTCTGTTGTAATGCGGGATCTGCTTTTTATTAAAGGTTACCTGCTTCGAGATAGCTATCATCGACATAAATGCCCTGTAAACGGACGTGAACAAATTGTTGGCCTTCATCTTGAGTTCATAACTGGAAGTATTATTGCTTTCCACGTTAACAGACAACGCATACTCGCCTTTTTTACCATGTCGTTCCACAGGCAGTTCAAGAGTCAACTATGTAACATACGTGATAACATAAAACCTTTATTTTAAAAAGCTTGTAGAGTCGTGCATACTAAATAAAATACGTGACACTGAAATATAGATGTAGCCTGCAAGAAAGCTCTCTGGCGGTGGGGCGAATGCCTCCTTTTTCGCCCCGCCGCCAGACCGCCCCGGAGAATTTGCACGCAGGTAAATATGTATTTGACATATTTAATACACAACTGAGGCAAAGAACAAGGTATTAATGTAAACAGCCTATTTAATAGAGGTGGACCGAAAATATTCAGTATGCATTTCAAAATAAAGCGAATTTTTCTTCCATTAGTAGTTTATTCGTTTTTTAGCTGTAAAAAGTAAAAAAAATCACCTTCTATGGGAAATAGTTTCTGCACTATCACGCGCGATTTCATGGTCGTTAATTTTCCTCTCGAATTTGAAGCACTTACCTGGACCATAGTTTTGAGGGTTTTTGCGGGCCGGTACAACGTTCATTCCATTGGTCAGTAAGGTAAAGAAATAGACTGATGCCATTGAATGAACGTTTTGCTCAGTCAAGTCCAAAATAGCGACTGAGCATGACCAGGAGCCGAGGTATAGGTACCCCCCAGTGCGATCACGCGTCCTTCTTCCCTTGCTCTCAGAGTATGGCGTTCGCCGACATTTTTTCTCCAGAAAAAAAAAAAAACACAACGCCTGATCAGCCTCCTCCTCAGGCGCTTCGTTTTTCGCATGGCAGAGGCGAGCGCGAAACGAGTGACTGGTGATGAACCGCAAGGGGCCATGGGAAGGGTACAGACGGCAGGCGAAGCGCCTGCCAGATCTTGTGTCGTTTTCTTGGCAAAAAAGTCGTTTTCTTGGCACGGCCCAATTTTTGGTCTTTTTAAGTCTTGGAAGCGATCAATTTTGGTAGCATATTGTTGTAAACATTGTAAACTTTGAGTAGACAGGTGAATGGCTCAAAATTTCAAAACCTGAGGTAGAAATAACCGACAGGCTGCAAAGGAGTCGGATTCTGCTGGATTCTTACGAATCGAAGACCTCTAACAAAATATTTGATGACTTGAAGGTATCGGGTAAGTCTTATATTTTAGTATTTAACTTGCTGTTTATTGCAGAATCCGGATTAGTAAAGTACAGCGCCGGCGACTATGTTTCTATTTTTCGCTCTTTTAGGCCAAATCCACCGAACAACGAGCAAGTAACCTTGTGAATTGAAAGAAGTGCAAGGCCTAGCTAGATTGTGCAAGGTCAGGAGTTGATTATCAAGACCACATTATGCCCTTTCACCAAGATTTAAGTCTGCGACGTTACTAACTATGAAACCAGGGACAGATGGATATATTTCAGTTGATGCTTTTGACAAAATAAATAAAAATGCATAAGTTGAATTGTTGAAGCTTACAATTACCTAACTCTCGGTATAAGATTCCTAGATTCTCGAGGGATAAGTAATGAACTTTATTTTCGGATCAGGGAAGGGGTTGAAGGGAAGGAAGGTGCCAGCATTGATCAATCAATTATTTTGGACTACCTCTATCAATCTTGATGAGGGAAACGAAAATCTCCAGCTATAAAGGCAGTCTTTTCTAGCTTAATTTTTTTTAGTATTTTTAATTATTATATAAACACCAATGAAGTACCAGGTGAGCTTTCGCGCGAAAACTTGGTATCTTCACATGTTAAAATAACATGTTATCTTACATAATAAATCGCATCTTTCACACCAAAAAACTATTAAAGTGAAATGGTTTGGTATTTCATTGGTGTTTATATAATAAATAGAATATTACATGGCCGCTTGGAGATACGAAATTTCTCTTCTCGTGTTGAAAAAATGTTTCACTCGTTCGCTGCGCCCACTCATGAAATATTTTTCAACACTCGAAGAGAAATTCTGTATCTCTGCACAGCCATGTAATATCCTCTATATATTGTAAAATAATTAATTCTAAAATATATTTATCGATTTTATCTTTTGTAAGAGATTTTGTTATTGCTATCATTAGTTTTAACTTTATTTCATTTCATTTATGTGTATAAATATTCATATTCCTTGCGATTCGAATCGATTTCGATTATTGCCTTTCGATTTTGATTCGGTTACGTAAACGTTTCTTAATTCTTATAACATAACGCGCAGTGTAAACAGCATGCAATCCCAAACCCTCAATATAACAATAGTAACAGCGACAGGAAGATTCACAGTCGCTTGGTTCGTTGCCATCAGGGGAGGTTGAAGGACAGCATTTTTGCCAGGTAACTCAAAATGGCGCACGAACTGCTATCGTCTTTGCTTGTCAATCAAAAACACTCATTAAAGAGTTCTGGATTCTTATTTTAGACTACAATAACTCACTGAGGGCACCCTGGAAAAGGTGTGCAAAAATTGAACTAAAATCAAAATGCGCAAGCAAAGAATCCTGAATTGAACTGAACGGTCATAATCACGATTAATCGAGAATTTGATTATTATTGTTACACTACTAATTTTATTTAGCTAGATGTCTGGCATGATGGCACCCCTATTGCAAGACTAAAAATGTTTGAATAAAGGTTGAATAAAGTATATAGTTCAGTTAAAACACCATGAATCAATGACGACACTACTACATCTCATTCAAACTCCAGGTCTGTAGTCTCAATGTAACTTTATTGGGACCCACAAATGTAAAAGAAGGGGAAAGGGCTTAACCCTTTTTTAACAGAAGTCAGTTCAATGACAACATGCCCATTCAATAATCTCAGTAGCCCATGCACAGCAATTTTTTCTGAGGGGAAGGGGCAACTGTACACATGCTTTTATCACAGTATTAGTTCAAAAAACACACATCAATCCAATTTCCATTTGTCCAAAATCAAGGAATTATAGGAGCAAAGTATTTTATTACTTGGGCAAGACAGCTAGATCAAGTTTAAGTTGGATTAGGGGTGCAAGTGCAGGTTTTCTCTTTTGCTGACCATAGTTCAATGACCTGACCACATCTCAGTTCAATAATCTTGGTAGAAGTTCATAAAACATACATCAAGTCAATGTCCAGCGTCATTAATTTACGGAATAGGAGCAATATTTTCTATTTCTCTGGGTGAGGTCGAAGCAATGGAAAGGGGTGAGGGTTTTGCATGGCTGAGCTTCTGGTCCATACATAAAACAGCTGGCATTTTTCATTGCTTGACACTGTTAATAGACCTGACATTAGCCTACTAATAGTGTAGTGTAGTGTTTTTTACTGCATATTCTTCCAGTTTGTCCAGGGGCCTGTTTTTACTGTTCTTTCCATTCAATGCTTGTATCTTGATTATAATTTTGTAGTTAAAATTTCCAGGAAGGGGGTTGGGGGTTAGTAGTTATGCAGAACCACTTATACTTATCTTAACGTTTTTTGCATTTCAAGGTAATTCTGTGCCCATTGATAATTATTAGATCATCTTGTATTCCTCTGCAACTCCAAAGCAGGTCAAAAACTACCCCGTCCTTCAGAAGAGGGTCAGAAGACTTTTGAGGGGAATTTTATGCTACCACAGGTTTGCCAAGAAAGGAACCATGTATAAGCAATCACAGGAACAACAATGTTGAATCTGGGTAGAATGATCCCAAGAACTTCATAATACTCAGTCTTTCCTACCACCAGTTGGCACTGGGACAATGCAATCATCATTCTCTAAAATGGTATTCACAGCATCATGTTTGCCATGAAATTTGAAATATTCAAACACAATTATTTTTTTAAAAGAAGTGTCTAGGACAACGTCTCCTGCCTGGCCAAATGGTAGTTACGATGGTATCTCATCAACTACATCACCCTCTTCAATCAGGGTAACAAAATTGTCTATCAAATTGAAACCAAAGTTACCAATAATTTATTTATTAAGACACAAATGATGTGTTATAAAAGAGCATGGCAAAACCCAATTGGTCTACTGTGTAATATCACAAAAACAAATAAAAAACAATACAGACAATAAGTATTTGCTGCACATTCGACACAGCTTCATCATAAAATGAGGTATATAAATAAAAAGTAAGTAGAATTTATTTACACCGGGCTGTGCATTCAGTGACAAGTCTAGTACCCAGTGAGGAAATCGAACAATAAAAAACTACAAGTAAAAAAACCCTAGACCTAGTTTTGTAGCTGTTTTTCCTGTACATAAGCTTACATAGTCGAGCAAATTATACACAATGCGAAATCCTGAGACAAAAATTTAACAGATTTAAAAAATATTTTATCATCTATTTAATAACATAACTTAGAGGTCTTGAGACTCGACTGGTTTGTTGCCTTTTCGTGTACTCAAGATACAGCGTGCAGCGAATAGTATTTTAAAGCTTTACAAAATATTTGGCTTCATTTGGCTGTTGCAACAATTTTCAGCTCGCCATTTTTCACTTCGACAGAAGAGATCTTTTCATCACTCGGGACCTTAACAGAAACGACTACTAAATTACTAACTTACTAATTTTCCTGACCGGCTGTTACCTTGGCGTGCGGCAGATTCATTAAATTAAAGGCAGTACCGTCCCGTCCGCGGCTAGTAGTTTTTCGATTTAAAGTTCGGTAGTAAACAGTATGTAGTTCGGTAGTAAACATTGTGATGCTTGAGTCCAATGTGTGAGGTGAAAACAGCTTCCTCTTCATACACACGACGTGGATAGGCAATTATTTGCTCAGAATTCGCAAAATGAACAGCGCTAAACTTATTTTAAAAACTGCATATTCGTCCGCCATTGCTCTTGCCGCCATCTTGAAAACAAGATCTGCCAGACGTCTCGCCCGTTGTCTCCTTCCCGCCTTCCTTTGCGCGCACATTTTCACCAAGAGAGAGACGTCTGGGTACGAGGCAGACGCCTGATCGCAATTTACGTTCTTGCCTCTTGAGGTAACAAAACCACGTGACAAAGACATCTGACGGGCTTCATAACCATTACATTTGTTTATTACCCATGTGCAGAGAAAATTCATCACGTATCTCCCAGCCCGTTTTTGCACCCGCCGAGAAGGCTGTTTCAAATGAGCGCCGGAGCGCCTGCTAGTCTCAGTACACTTTTTCGCCCGCTCGCGCACTGGTAACGAAAGGGTAAAGATCAAAAACAAAATGGCGGACGAAAGAAGAGTTCTTTCATTATTTGTTATCGATGCTTTTACAAGTAAGCCTTTCAGTGGAAATCCAGCTGCGGTTTGTCTTGTAGGATCAAAGGTGGGTTTTAGTCTTTTGAGTTAGAGAATGTGAGGAAGGCTGGAGCGCGGCTAAATCTTCTCTCAGGTTTGGCAGGCGGTAACAGTTGATGTTAGTGATAATTTGAACGGTCTGAATTCTAACGGCTGGCTTTCTAGTAAGAAATAGAAACGAATTAAATAGAGTGTCTTTTACAGCTCATATAAATCAATTTATATACGCTCGTCAATGGAAAGCTCTGCACCCCCATACCCACGGACGCTGGGGGGGCATGGTGGGGGAGCATTAGACCAGGGTTGCCTTCTAAATGAAGCGAATTCCTGCTGTTTGGGCCTATTTCTTGCATCCAGACCTCATTTTTGTCCCTGCCCGGGTTTTTTTTTAAAAGAGTCTGAAAGGAGTTGTGATGGTAGTTGGGGAAGGGGGAGTAGGTGAATGGGGGCGGAAATGCTTATAATTAGGAAATTTAAACTAAACCTCTATTGGGAATCTGGGCATCTCATACTTTGTTTGAACCCTAAAAGATTAAAGGATACCATTTTGAATCAGTTTGGCAAAATGCCTCACTATAGCCTATTTCACAGTTTTTTCAACTTTTTATATGGAAAAGTTCGCAAAAAATCTGTCAACACCACTGAAAAGAGCACCTTAAAATTAGTAAAGTTGCGAAATTTGAAAGTGATATACATCTTAAGTGAGCCAAGATATAGCTCCGCATAATTAAAAAAATTTTCGGTTGTTTGTACGCTGGGGGGCAAGTTTGTGCCCCCCACCATACAAACCTCTGTGAAATTTCGTGACTTTGAGGAGTTCTATCTTCTTTATTTTTCAACAAATCACGTTCAAACTTGGCAATTTTACTAATTTTAAGGCACTCTTTTCAGTGGTGTTGATGAAACCATGAAAAGGTCTTTTGACCTAGGCTGTGGTTGTTCAAACACTGGATAGTATTATCCACCAGATAAATCACTATCTAACCGCAAAGTATTATGGAAACCAATATTGCTATATCCACTGGATTTGTTGGATAGCTCTATCCGCCTTTTGAATAACTGGGACCTGCGCTACCCAAGTGCTGGGGTTGACGATGCATTGGTTTCCACTGACAGTGGCAAAAAGACATTGACACTATGACTACAAGTCCAAAAAACTATACAGTGCAAAGATAATGTGTAGGCATTATCCAAGAACAGTTATTTTTTCTGAATGAAGAGCAAGATTTTATTTGGTCTTTTAGTCGTAACACTTCAATAAAACTTTGATTTATCCCTTTCCTCTCATAGCACCTAAGTGATCAAATGTTACAAAAGATTGCACAGGAAATGAACTTGTCAGATACTGGCTTCATTCTGGAGAAAAATAGTCAAGATACTTACAGTCAAGGTAAGCAAACTAGAAGTATCATTCAATTGTTAATTGGTATTAAAATTGGATGGCTGAGAGTCAACAACTGGTTTTCATCCAACATTATTTTCTGCAAAAAAATTATTTAGCCAACAACCAGGAGTAAGGTTCAAGAGCAGAGTGTTCAAGACTCAAATATGATCAACCCACATGTACGCCTGGCTGACTCCTGCTGTGTACCATGCAGTTTTAAAATGCCGTTATTCAAGCTGATCCAAAACTTTTGTTGGTGCCGTTACAGGCTTCTTATTCTTTTGGGAAATCATCATGTTTTATACATGAAATCAAATCCAGATCGTCTTGATTGTCTCGACAGTTTTGGGAATGATCGTGTTGCTCAGGATGATCAAAACATAGTGTTATGGCAGTACAGAACCATGCCTTTAAAAAAAACGTTCCTCAGGTTTAAGGACCATGGAGCTTGTGCATTACTTTTGACCATGATGGGTGCTTCTGATATAGTTGCCTTGCAAGGCAGATGTCTCTGGGGGCTGAATATGGTACAATATTTTGATAGGTACTTGTTTTGGTCTGCGATGGTTCACTCCAACATGTGAAGTTCCACTGTGTGGACATGCAACGCTGGCATCAGCTGCAGTTTTGTTCAACTGCTTAGGTGAGTGAATATATACTGTACATCTGCCAGTTCTTCCCTTCCAAATTATTTTTTTCCCTCTTGAGACTTGAGGCTTTGAAAACAATCTTCTTTTGTAATCAGTTGAAATAGCTCATAGAAATGGCTTTATATATTCACAAGCCAAAACTAAAAGTCTATTGTAAAACTATTTTAGTTTTGGCTCGTAGGGGACTGATTGTCTTGTGCCATACTGCACAAATTTGTTGTTGATAAATCCATGTCTCTTTGTCTGAGGGCAGTTAAATGCCTTGAAATCTGATTATCATTAGTTGTGATACGTCTAGCTGTCTCCAGGTTTTTACTGAAAAATGTAAGGTTCTGGTCTCAGTTCCAAGGTTTCTTTAGGTGCTCGGGAAGTGATATTGTAAGGTCTGAATAGAGCACCATGCTGCCAGCATTAAATTTTGTATTAGAAAATTTTTATTTTCAGAACATGAGGCCAAATAAATGTTGTTTAATTTAATGCATTTTGGTTTACTTCAGGTAATCCCAACAAAGAAGTTACCTTTGAAACATTGAGTGGAAATTTAAAAGCTAGAAAAGAAGGTACACTATGTCTTTTGTTAGGTAAAATTAATTTAGTTCCCATGGCTCTGCCCTGCAGTCCAACCCCTTACCCTTTCACATACCATTTTTGACAGGAAAAGTACCCGTTTTGAATACCTTTTATTGACAAAGTGGCATCCTTTTCACATACCTAGTTAAGAACCATGCATCTCTTTTAAATGAATAACAAATAATGATTTGGAGGTAGCACATCCACAAAGTGGTTCTTCGTCTACCTGACTCCCAGTTGAATTGGAATTTGAAAATGTTGGTTTTTGAGGAGAGGGGAAAACCGGATTAGCCGGAGAAAAACCTCTCGGAGCAAAGGAGAGAACCAACAACAAACTCAACCCACATATGGCATGGATGTCGGGATTTGAGCGCAGGCCACACTGGTGGGAGGCAAGCACTCTCACCACTGTGCCATCCCTTGTTCCCTGTTACTGCTGTAACTGCACTGTCTTTTAAATATGAATAAATCACAAAGCCAGAACATTTTCTTGAGTTTGTCACAACCATAGAAGGCATCTTTTAGGTGTTTTGAGCCTTTTTGCAGACTAAAATGACAGATTTCCCTCCCTGTTGATATGCTTTAACTTGTGAAGAGCCTCCTGTATAGGCTGTTATAGGGAGTATCCCCCTGGTATATGTTAGCCCATCATGAATCACTGCCTTTCAAAATAGTTATATGCAGCAGCTTTTAAATGTTGTTGTATATGTAACGCTTAATTTTATTCATGTTATCTCTCTTTGGTCTTGGGCATGGTAAAGTATAATAATGACATTTTAACCAAGGATAAAATTGAAACACAATAAATACATTATGGCAAAGAAACTTGCAATTTACTCAGTGGTAAATGACACTGACAATACAAAGGACGCTTTCCAAAAGTCGAAACTGGCCAGCCAGACCTTGGCCGGACCAGTCATTTTGACCTGAATGAAACAGGCTTTTTCCAAAGGGTTTTTGCTGAAAATCCAACTTCTTCGTACATACTGTTCAGGACCTGACTGATCTAGCTGGATAGTTTTGGTTAAAAGTGAAATTCTCATTATGACAGGAATGACCTGGCTGGTCAGTTCTGACAAATGGAAAACGCCCTAAGATTATTTTTGTATATTTGTACTAGGTTCGTCAATATGCATAGACTTTCCACTCAACCCTTGTGAACCATGGCCACTGTCTGGGGTAAGATGATGTTATGAGGAAGTTAAATACTAATTCTTTGCCTCAAAGAGCTAATTTAAACAATAAGGGGTCTCATGGTTAGGGGCAGCTCCTCTTCCTCCTATAGGCTAGCTACTGTTGTGGAAGAACATTGTTCCGAGATAACATAATCTCTTTTGCACGTAATGCGTGCCTATTTGACAATTTATTTACAGCATGAAAGTGAGGCTGTGGCATTCTTCTCTGATGTCCATTTGCAGATTACGTTCTCTACCAAAGACAGACTTGAGCTGTAGGTAAATGGGTTCAGGCAATTTAGATGTTTTGACAAAAATGGCTCTTTTGTTAACACTCCTCAATCACCCATTACTGCCTGCGTGGAACCACATCCCTTTTACCACTTGTCAGCTCGTCAATTTTTAACAATCACAGGCGACTTTGACTCCTTGGAGATCTCTCAAACTATTCCCAGAGACAATTCAGTCAAACAGCCCAGACAAAAACGTAAAAAATCCTGAAACGCTAACCGAAAATTCTAATGAAAATCTTGTCTCACCACTCTCCTTTACTTCATTCAAAATAATTTCACAATTCACCGAAGCCTCAGAAATGTCCAGCAAAAGAGAGAAAGGAAATGGGAAAAGAAAAGTTAAAGAAGCGAGATGGAGAAAATGGGAAAGGTAATTCGAGGGGGGAAGCCGAGAAAATTTGCCTTCCGTGAGGATCTGATGAACTTCGGAAGCTGTAACTGTAAACGATAATTCCCGATAATTCCCCTTTAACTTATGAAAGATATATTAGACATGAAAGTATTTGAATTGATGTCTTATTCCATTATATATGTTTCATATTTTTGTTAGGAAGATCCATCAATTACAAAACTTATTAGAGCAGGTGTGTTTTAAGCCATCAACGCCTTCTTTTGTTTGTTTTTGAGTTTCCTTGATTTCATGTTTAAGTGTCGCAAAAGCTATATCTCTCGCAACAAGAAAGCTGCTGTTGTCTTAAGCTGTCAAATGCACAAAATGTGTTAGTGCAAAGACCCTATCCACGGTTGTTTTCAACTTGTTTTTTAACGGGAACCGGTTACCGAAAATCTGTCAACACGGCTGGAAAGAAGGCTTTGAATATTGAATATTTGAATCACTAACATTGCCGTGTTTTAAAGTGATTTGTTCTTAGTGGAAACTATAGCTCCACAAAGTGGCGGAATTTTACAGACGTCGGGGCACATACAAATCGCGACTTTGTGGAGATCGTGGAAGGGTGTATTGAGGAAATCCTTAAGTCTGACCATTTATGTAAAAGTTACTGAGCAGTACTTTCCCGTGGTACTGTTTATTCTGCCTCACAAGGTTGTTTCAACTTTTAATTGTGTGGATGCAATTCTATCGTGTGTCGTTGTCTTCTACTCTTGTTTCATTTTACGCTGTTGAGATGAAATCCTTCCCCAAATCCGATATTGCGAGAACATTAAATTCTCTGCAAGCTGCGCCTCCGCATCTCGACTTGTCCACATGCTAAGTAATTTCTACCCTGCGAACAGAGTCTCCTTCGATCTTAGGGAAGATCAAAGCGACTCTGTTAGCAGGGTAAGTAATTTCCTGCCTTTCGTTATATTTCGTTTTAGTCGTTGGAGACCTCGCAGTAAAGGAAGTGGAATACAATAAAACGACCAACAACCTTTTGCTGTGTCTGCAACCTTCTTTCACAAGGTTAGATTGACTTTATTCAGCAAGGACTGTGGGAAAGAGACTGTCTGTCAAGCACTCCAGTTAGAGAGATAAATGCGATATGAAGTGTAGCCGGAACGTTTGTGAAAGCGTTTTGCGAATGAGCAGGAATGATGGGGGATTCCCGGGCCCAGCTGTTTGAAAGGTGGATAACGCTATCAACTATATAAATCTCACTACAGTGGATAACGCAATTTGTTATCCCCAACATTTATCCGGTGGATACCGCTTTCCAACGTTTGAACAACTGGGGCCTGGACTCTAACGTGAACAGTACTTGTAAGTTTTCATGTTTTTCTACAGGAAGGATTTGGAAGGTTTTTGCCCAGACTTCCAAGCAATGACGTCAGCCCACTCGGCGGGGAATGTCCGCGGGGTAATTGTAACACTTCAGGGGACTGAGTCAAATGGCTGTGTGGACACAACTGGAGCAGTCTACGACTTCATTTCACGATATTTCGCTCCATGGCGTGGTGTCCCTGAGGATCCAGTTACAGGTGAGTGAAGGGTCAAATGTCCCTCTTGCCACGGGTATCGCACTAGGCTTATGCCAGTGGCAGTTAGACTGGAGACGGGACACAATGTCGTGAAAAATGACGTCAGTGTCATACTAAGGATGTTAGTAAGTATCGAGCTCGAATTGGATCGATTCTAATCTACCGCCATTGATTAGCTTTACGACAAAATAATTCAGTGTAGACTAAGGAATTTCTAAGGTAGTTGAGAAGCGTTCAGGAAAATTCTACGCTGCGTGGTGTTTCAGCTGCTTACAATTTGACAGCATTCTCGACTCCAGATCCTTTGAATACTTCAGCCGACGCGCTGAATCGAAAAGGTATTGTAATTGTAAAATTTTAGTAATTTGTTTACCCACAGTCCACGAAGCACTTAAGAGTTCTTAAGACCTCTTTAAAACGTGTCCGTGCGTTCCAGATCGAATTGGAATTTGGAAGTGTTGGTTTTTAAGGAGAGGGGGGAACCGGAGTACAAGGAGAAAAACCCTCTCGGAGCCAAGGAGAGAACCAATAACAAACGGGTTCGACGCCGAGATTCGAACCCAGGCCACATTAGTGGGAGGCGATTGCTCTCACCACTGCGCTCTCCTTGCTCTCCAAATGGAATCGAGAATGCTGTAGCGTGGAGACGTGTTCACTCCATTCCTCTTGATCATACAGTTCCTTTTTCTTTAAATCCACATGTTTTATTTAGGGTCAGCGCACACAGTTCTGGCTAGTTACTGGTCAACAAGATTAAAGAAAACTGATCTTTATGGTGAGTATCTCTGAGTACAGATTACTAGAAGTCCGTTGCACTGCATTCGGGCCGATTCTTGGTACGAGTAGAATGACGAGCTGTAGTGACCTAGGCTGCGTAGAATGTTACTGGCGATGTGTCATCGTTGCGCGCTTTGTCGCAGTGTGAGGACCTACAATGAGGAGAGAGGTGGCACCTCTCCTCTCCACAGAGGCCTCTTTGTTTCGTAGCGAGGGTAGGGAGGGTAGGGAGAAGGAAAAAAGAAAGCGCGCTGTGGCAGATGCAATTGGCAATCTGCTTTTGTTTAAGAACGAGCAAATACTGGAATTACTTGTCCCGTATCCTCCCTACAGGGGTGTTTGCCTTAAAGGGTCGGGAAGGGTTTCTGCCGTATTGGTTTAGTTGGCTATACAGCACGTCCGCCTCATAGAAGTGGTGCTTACGGAACATGACGGCAGAAAGAAGAGGACGGCAAAACGTTTCTGTGTGACAAACATGACAGGGCTATTACTTACGTGTTTTGTCGTGATCTTTACTTAATATTACTGTGTTCTTGTCCTTAAAGATCTGTTTAAAGAAGAGTGAAATATGGCAGAAAACTTTCCAATATACTGTCACGATTGACAATCTACTTTTGCCGTCTTCTTTCCTTTGCCGTCCTTTTGCCTTAGTTCAATAATGTGCCTCAAAGTTGGCGTTACAGATTTCGGCCGCACAATGGTTTCCGTCACTTTAGGTATATTTCTAACGCTCATAAAATAGTTTAATAGCCTCGTTTATTTTATTGTCACAGCTCGTCAGTGCTCTTCACGTGGTGGGGAGCTAACTATTCACGTGCGGGAAAACAACAGAGTTAATATTACAGGACAAGTAGTGCTAGTTTTACAAGGAAGTCTTTACGTGTGACAATAGCTAGTCGAGCTGTGTTGCGTGACAAATATTACGTTACTGGTATTTTCCCCAGTGCTGTTCATCTACAAACTATGAAAGTTTTTTGGCAAACAGGAACCACGTACAGAGACCTCAGCTTTGGAATTTTAAAAGTATTTTCTGCATCTAATCATGAAGTAAATGGTCAAGAATGGCGCATCATTGGAGCAAATGCGCTATGCATCGAAATCTCAAAAACAGTTAGAGCGGTTTTCATTTGAGTGTCGAAAAGTAATTGGTTTTGCACTTTCTACACGATGCGATTGGCTTAAAAGATTCGCGCCACCTTTTCATCCAATCAGAAGTGAAACCAAAGCCAATTGTGACGCGCTCGCATGCATTTTCCCGCGCTTTGCGTCAGCCACATGTAATTACTTCGAGTTTTGATTGGTTCAATGTATTGTCTGTGTCCTATGTGATTGGCCAGAGTAATTACTTTGGTTTTGGTTTTACGACACTCAAACGAAAACCACTCTAAACAACGTAAGCAAGCCGGCTTTTCAGGAAGATGCTTATAACACAAGACCAACCCGAAATTATAAACCGCTGCGATAAAAGAACATGTGAAGGGCTCAAAAAATCAGCTCTATAAGGTCTGACTTATTCCGACAGCCGAAATGAAACTAACACTAGATCTAGAACTAAGACCGGCCTTAGAGTGGTTCAGACGGGTTTCATTTACACAGAGGCAAGAATACTTCAACCAGTTTACAAGCAACCAAGCAATCAAGCAACCCCACGGCACGATGGCAACGGCAAAAAGAACGTCAAATAAGTAATACAACAACTCTGCACGAGCATCAAACTTTTTGGTGCATTTTCTTTGCCGCCACTACGACTGGGACGTGAAATGTCATAATGTTAAGCTTTATGGGTGACAAGCCAACGAACTTGGATGGGATCCTTTAAAATTCAACTCTACGAAAATTCCTTTGCATTCACTTACAATTTGATCACGAAAAGATTGAAACAGAGCAAATTGACTTTTTCTAAAAAGACGTTTTAGCTGACGTCGGCATCGTGGTTGCTCGAAATCCCTAACGCCGCTCTCATTTAACAGGGGCCTAAAAGGAACAGCTGATTCTTTTAGTCTAGAATGTTCTCACAACTGAACTCAAACCCTGCACAAAGCCGGACACTCCGGGGCCCTGGGCCTAGTTCTGGTGCCCAGGTTTCGACGCAAAGGCTTGGGCTTCGTGAGGACTTTTGACGTCAACTTGGTCAAAACAAGTTTTCATAAAAATCAAATCTTGTACTTCTGTTTTAAACGGTCAAATGTTTCGTTTGTCACAAAGTCCTGCTTTAACCTCGCGGCCTGTAGTTTGGAAAACAGCTGCTGAAGTTCTGTTGAAAAAGCAAATTGAAAATCAATAGTTTTAAATAAATGAAATAATGAATACAGTGCGGACAGAAACCCTTTGTTCTTCTTAGATAGAACTTGTCTCGGAAAATCGAAAGGCCTCTGTACGTATTAAAGTACCATTAAAATAGCTGACTGCATTCAGTTTGTTTCCATGAGACTGGTGTGAAAAATTATCTTACACAGGTCTGATAACAGATCGGGGAACCATGCAATAATTGCCAAAAAGCCGGTTTATTTTGCTTTATCTTACCCCTTCTAGGAGCTAGCCATATAAAGTAGAATTTGAAAAACGGCCTTTCATATCGCAAAATAAAGAGTAACACATACCATTCTTTTCCTTTGCTGACATGAAAAGCAACACCATGTCAAACCGTTCCACGTGAGTGAGTTGTTCTAAGATGTCAAATGCCAAGGATTCCTCCCCTAAATTAAGGAAAGTACAAAAATAAAACTTGAAAATGATGTTTCTTCAGTCAGTGACACGGAGATAGACGACGCGGCAAAAAGAAAATCAGAGTTCTCTCAACCGCAGCCGTCCCGAGCGACTTTGTGTAACTCGTCCTGTACCACAAAGCTACCGGAGACTAGTGGGAGGTAAGGCCATAACCTGGAATCAGGCTTCTTAGTGGAGAAAAAAAGTCAAATACGGGGATAACAACAACAACAATTATTTATTAACAAAAGATAAAGTTTTACTGTATTGTATGCCTGCAAATGGCTATGAAGCCAATCTTACCGAGCGGGCGACTTAGAAGGGAAAGTGGGAGTGGCCTTTTGCCATGTTTTTCTTTCTTTGCCTTTTAAGCCCTGGTAGAAATTTTAGCAAAGCCACAGTCCAGCACAAACCAGGTTCTTTAGAATATCGCCACCCCCCTGGAATTTAACCAGACTATCCCAAATGCATACCAGCTGATAGCCCTGTGCCCCAGCTAGACACTAGGCTGATTTAGCAACAGGACGGGGACGTCAGTTGACGACGGGAAAGCAAGCGGAAAGGACTAAACACGACTTCCGGTGCCCAATTTGCCCCTCTGCCATTGGTTAGGCCACTTGTTTGACTCGTTCCCGTTCTGTTGCTAAATCAGCCTCCAAAGGAGCCTGGTCCAGGCTAGAAAGGCCTTTAAACTAGGTACATGTCACAAACATACATACTCACATAAACAACAGCAAACTGTCGGTATTTTAAGTTACCTTGTGGAGCAATTTCTTGGCTTAGAGCTGCAATGATGCTACTTAGCATGGGAGCCTCAAGCTTATTGCTGAGAACTGAAAAAGAAAATGAAATGAAAGTGTATATAGTAATTGCAATAACTTTGTACGAGGAGCGGAGGATGCCCGAGGGCCAGTCTCGTTGCCACGGTCCACTTAACTTTCTCGATAATGACATCGCCTTTAAAGGGAAGAGCCCTGGGAAAAAGGCGATGAACCTGTTGAAAGGTTTGCTGATGGGTACAGGCCAAAGAAACAACGCGTAAAGAGCGAGGAACTATCAAGAAAGCGCAAGCAGTTTCCCACGGAAGCCAGTTCGCTGTGTGGAGAATCCGCTTCTATCGTCCATCCTCGACAACTAAAATCATGGACAAAAGTCTTGGGACACTTTTGAATTTCTTCGGCGTTTTCGAATTCACACAGGTTCTACCCCTCCCCTCACCCCACAAACAATGTTGGACGCATGTATCCAGATTTTTTTTCCGAGTTTCAACTTTGTATAGGTTGTGGGGAGAACTGCAAGAAAATTTCGAAAAGGATGCACTGTTTTATGAGGGAACCGAGAAATGACAGAAAAATATGAATAGTGCAGTACTGTCCCAAGGACTTTTGTCCACGATTGTAGCTTCCAGTTAACGAGAAGAGTTGCTTACCTTTGGCAAGCCGTTTGGTGTCCAGCTGTCGTAACAAATCGGCGTAGTCTTTGTAGCTGCCCTTTTTCACCGAATTCCAGGCTTGAAAAAAGTCATAAGGTGTAGTCTGTTAATCAAAGCACAGATCGGTGAGGATTACTAGAAACGGTTCCTTCGCAAAAAAGGGCCGAGTTGACGACGGTACATAACAGAGGCCGGACTTGAAACTCGAACTATGATCCCTCGCTAGGCGTGATTCTCTGTCAACCCAAATTAGCTAGTCCTGAACTAATCTGTAACAAAACTAATTATCTGGTACACTCCCTTTTGGTTTTCAATGATAGCTTTCAAATTATACATTCAGGGCCTCCAACTAAACAACAACGACTAGATTTGATTACGAGTTCGAAAATTAAGCCAATTGGACATTTCCGAGTTCCAGTAACTCTCACTATCAAAACCAGGCTCAGTGCAAACCCTTTCTTGTAAAAATGAGTTGTATTTTCATGCGAATAAAATTCATTTTCATATCAATAGCTTCGCGCTTACTCTGGCTTTGAAACAGAACCCTGAGGTAACCCGCAAATGGGCTATCAGGTGCATCGACCTCTCTCCCTCTCCTTTAGATTCTAAGACGAGAACGACTACGAGTACGAGATTTTCTCAGCTAGTACTAAGTAGTGCTCGCGCGTGAACCAGCGTCATTTGGCAGGAAAACGTGGTAGCCGTCGTTAGGATGTTAGCAAATAATTGCGGGCGAAAGAGGTACCCGCAATCCTAATCTCCAGGTTGTTATTACACAAGCGTTGCATGTATGTAGCCAGCATTCGCTTGGACTTCCACTATTAATGTATGGAAAGCACTGAACGCACTTTGATTACGCGCGTTTGCACCTTCTATCCCTCATAATCTGATCACGCCTGTTTTGGCCATCTGTTACGTGAAACGTGCGCAAAGCACAGCGCTGGAGCAAAAGCGTTTTGACCTTTGATCGCCGGACTTTGTAACCTTTGGTTATTACTAGTAGGTAGGATATTTGGTATAGTATGGTTTAACACACCTTGACAAGCTTGACTGGTTTTCCTGTGTTTCTATCACTGGGATTAAGAGGGATTTTCTCTGGTTGTCTGATTGAGGACTGCTCCATTGGTTCTTGAGAGACTGGTTGCTCATCATCCTACGAAATGAAAAACAATCTCAATTCCTTCAACTCCGGTCATGAATGGTGATGCTTTTCCTACTGAATGGCTGCCACTTTAAGAGGGAAAAATCCTGTCTTGAAATCGCTAGTGAAATCTCATATCTGAACCATATTTTAAAAACCCTTTCAAACCACACAGTGCAGAAGTCCCCCACCACCACTCTCCAACTTGGATTATACTGACAAAGTAAATAGCACGATGTTAAAGTACTGCTAAAGAGGTTCCATTTGAATGATCAAACCAGAGGATTTGGTCCATTCACAATGGTGAAATAGGAGCTAACTTGTGCCGCATAATAGGCGGGGTTACCAAAGGAAAACACTGCTCCCTAGTCTCTGAACCCTTGAACTGGAGAATTTCTAGCTAATTCACAGACTTGAAAATTAGACCCACCTTTTGGGGAACGCAGGACTTTGTCAGCAGACGCGAAAGCTTTAGGAGACCTTTCCCGCATTGCTGTGAACAAACACCTCAACTCGAGGCTCCGGTGGACAAAATACAATGATTTGTATGAAACTACCCACCCAAACCTCGGGGTCATTTCTTTGTGTTTGCTCACTGGAGAAGAAA